TCATCCTCCAGCTCCTCCCAGATCCACTCAGTTCCCTACCCACCTGGCTTTGAGCCCTCACTTACTTTAAACCTATCAAGTCCAATTTGTGCTGCCCATATACTCTTGGGTGTGTGGCCATCCAGTGGAGCACAGTTGACCTACCTGGGGCCACAACCTTAAAGAAAGCTGGCTCTGTCTCTGCTAAAGGCCATCATCAATCACGCCTCAGTTTGTACATTTGGCAGAGGTAGCCCCTGAGACATCATCATTATGGGGGTAGGAATTGGCTATGTGTGGCCTAACAAGGGCTATTCATGGGGAGAGATTGGGCTCATGGGTGGCAGAGTTAACAGACAGTCAAGAAGATCATAGGCTCAAAGTCCCTCTAAGAACTTTCCTGGAGCGTATCTGGGGAGACCCAACAGAGCTGAAGGAAGTCTTCCCATCCCAGTCATGGAACATGGGGCCATCTCCTGAGCTCTCCAGGCCTCCAGGCTCTACCTGACCTACAGTGACAACTGCCCATTCCTGTTCAGGGCCCCTGGGCTCTGGCAGCCTTAGTCCATGTTGCACATAGACCAGGCTTATTGTCATGTCAAGACCCATCATCACACACTTTTCCGTGGACTTCATTGAAGTTATTCAGGGATATGTGCCCAGGAGAAGGTGGGGATATAAATAGGAAGAGAGAGGAAGGGAGAAGACAGGGTGGGAGGGGGCAGAAGGAGAGGGAGGGAGGAGACGGGGTGGGAGGGGGCAGAAGGAGAAGGAGGGAGGAGACGGGGGGGGCAGAAGGAGAGGGAGAGAGAAGACAGGGTAGGAGGGGGCAGAAGGAGAGGGAGGGAGGAGACGGGGTGGGAGGGGGCAGAAAAAGAGGGAGAGAAGAGATGGGGGTAGGGGGCAGGAGAGGGAGGGAGGAGTGGGATAAAGGGAAAAGGGGAGTTGGGAAGATGCCCTGGGGGAGGAGAAGAGGGGACAGAAGTGAACAGAAGAGGGGACAGGAGGAGGGAGGTGGAGGAATGAGGAGAGAAGGGCAGGGCCGGGGCGTGGAGAAGAGCAAGAACGGGAGCATGGGAAGGAACAGGAGGAAAGAGGACGGGACTCACTGGGATGGATAAAGAAATGGGAAAGAAAGAAAGAAAGAAAGAAAGAAAGAAAGAAAGAAAGAAAGAGAGCCTCGAGCTCCTTCATAGGGTGGTGTTCGCCCGACGGCATTACTCAGTCCCCGTCTGGGGTCAAAGGCTTACTCTTCATGTCCACGGTAGCACACTCTGGCTCTCCTTGCTATTTGTCACTGATATAAACATCTGTGTCCCCTGTCCCTTGTATTTCTCACCTCAGGTTTGATGGCAAAGACCGTCACTAGGATCTGTGAACACCAACCCATCTCTCCCAGTGTGACATCGTAGAGCAGGGCCACCAGTCAACACCCAGGATCTCTAGTTTCTCACAAATCTAACATTAATCACATAATTTATGAGACCCACCCACCACATATTTTCTATTTCAGTAACTTTCTGTAAAACTTATGTTCTTTTAAAAGTATAATGCTAGATCACCTGTTTCTTTGACACTGATTGGCAGAGATTAGGGAGTTGGCAGAGGCTGAATGACTGTGTCTCACTAATTAAAAGGGTTTTTAAATATAGACTCTCCGTAACAGCCTTGACCAAGGTCAAAGGGTTTCCGGGGGTGGAACGTGGCTGACTCTTGGCTCTGGAGTCTCTGCATTTGTTTATACAGCTCTGATGCCACAAAACCTAACAATTCCAACAAACACAGGTGGACTGAAAGAAGACTGGTCCAGACGAGGCAAATGGTCATACTGACTGACCTACAGTTTTATTCAAGGTCAATGGAATTCTAAAGCTCGCCCTTTCCTCTCCTCATCTCTGGACCCCAACTGCCCCCAACCTCCCTTTGTAGAAGCTGCCTTTCCCCTCTCATAGGCCCATTGCTAGTCTACTGACCTCTGTATGTACTTCCACATAAACACATGAAAACGCAGAATTTATAGGAGCACAGTTGACCTACCTGGGACCACAACCTTAAAGAAAGCTGGCTCTGGATCTGCTAGAGGCCATCGTCAATCACGCCTCAGTTTGTACATTTGGCAGACGCAGCCCTTGAGACATCATCACTGGGGGTAGTATGGATATGTGTGGTCTAACAAGGGCTACTCATGGGGACAGACTGGGCTTACAGGAGGCAGAGCTAGCTCAATTACTGTAATGCTTTATAGTTCTATCAATTTTCTCACAAATTTCACAACTTCATTTATCTTTACAGCTGAATAAAATTCCACTGATAATGTTTACAACATTTTCATTATCCATTCAACTGTTGATGGACATCTAGGTTGATTCCATTTCCTTTGTATTATGAATAGAGCCACGATAAACATGGATGTGTAAATGTCACTGTGGGTTGGTAGAGTCCTTTGGGTATATGCCCCTGAGCTGTATAGCTAGGTTGTAAGGTATTTATACTTTTATTTTTTCTCATTGGAATAATATTTAAAATAAAACAAATAAAAAAAAAACACTTAGCTACAAACATGAACCACCTATATTGAGTCTTTAGTATAGGAAATATAGTCAAATGCAATTTAAGTTTAGAATTAGTTTAATATATGTGCATACACTTTGAGAATGTTCTACAGGTTTCCCTATGGTTTTTTCTGAAGTTCTTTGGTGTTAGCTACCACTCCTCGTAGGCCCTTCTCTGCCCTGCCCGCTCATCCCCATGCCTTTAACCCTTCTACTCCTTTATATCACTGCATCGAGACATTGTCCCTACTAGATACCACAGGCTAGCAAACAAAGGCCCAATACCAGTAATGGACTCCCTCTTTTGCAGCTGTCGACCAGGGATCCCATAGACCCTCAAACAATAAAGCCATTGCTCCTGTGCTCTTGGTCACCCCCTGGAACTTCATGGTACGTCCCTACTGCTAAAGTCACTGCTAGACGGACCGTAGAACCAACAAGAAGAAGCCACGCTGGTGCCGACTTCAGAGCCTCATCACTACTACTTCGTTTTCATAGTTCTGGAAGGTGCCATGCACACGACCTGAAGAGAAAAATTTAGCAGGAACCATCCCTAGCTGTGAATCCTGTGAGCTACAACAAAAGCTGACCTGGAACATGTGCCCAGTGATTCAGTGCTGGTACGAACATCACAGGAGGAGCCAGCCACCCTCTGACTGGATTTAAGTTCTGCTTCGTGGGGTGGAACCCATATCCCACACTGATATCAGTAGTCTGAGGCTAGACAGCCCACAGGCAGGGGAGAACACCTAATACAACTCTTCTGATAAATACAGCATTAAACTGACTCTTCATGACTTATTGTTATACCCATAGATTAATACGTCACTCAGGGCTCAGCAGAGAAGGTTCCTTATGCAGCAGATGGTGATTAACACGGGGCCGCAACAGGCCAGCATGCAGAGAGAAGGAGGCTGCAGATGGCTTACCCACCGATAGGACACCTACACTGAACTTCTGCCCCCATCGCTCAGGAATCATTGTGGAAGAGAGGGCAGAAAGACTGTAAGAGCCAGAGCGGGTGGAGGACCACAAAGAAACCAAGATTTCCAGGCAGGTGGTCGTTTTCATGTCAAGTCACAGCAATGCTGCCATGGACATGTCTCACATAACCTCAAGCTGGCAAAATCCCAGCACAGATATGGGAAGTGGGTAAGAAACCCCAGTTGTATCTGAGGAACTGCTGACAAGCCAAGCCACTGGGGGGTGATATTTTTAGACACTATCTTTAAGAGAGAGAGAGAGAGAGAGAGAGAGAGAGAGAGAGAGAGAAACAAATTGAGCGGGGAGAGAGAACAGAAATTTGGTGTGGGGTTAGAATAGTAGAATGAGACTACATATATGATATGGAATCTAAATATGATCAAATATATTGTATGGAATTCACAAAATGAATATTGTTTTAGAAAGGATTGGTTTAAAACAGTCACGTTCACAGGTTTCTGATTCGGCACCATTTTCCTTTGTGTTTGTACTGAAATCAAACCTTGAACTTGGAGACATGTTTTCTACCACTTGTTCTACCCTCTCTTCTACATGCATACACGTGGTCAACACTTCCTGTGACTGTGTCTCTTAATTCAAGATCTGAACTAGGCAACTAAAGCAACTTTAAAGTGCTAAAATTTAAATAAAGTAAAGGAAGGTCCAACCAGCAAGTACTTTAGAGCTACAACACAAGCTTTTAGATTCGATTCTTTCAATTTCTTACTAAATTTTGTTTGAGACAGCGTTTCCCTGTAGCCCCAGTTGCCCATGAACTCCTTATCTAGACCAGCTTGCTCTCGATCTCCCAGCCATCTGCCTGCCTCTGCCTCCCGAGTGCTGAGATGAACCAGCGAAGTCTCCAGGATGCAGGAGAAGCTGCTTGGCGGCAATCAGCAGAACAGCCCAGCAGATCATAATGGATCAAACCTTGGTCCTCAACCTCTTCCCCTGCCACACCCCAAAACTGAACCCCCCCATGGGTCAGTCCTACCCACAGGTCAGGTTACTGAGCAGGATAACCAGTTTGCAGACGCGTCCTCACAGGTGGTCCACGCACCACCTCACAGATGAAGCGGGATCGCATCCCCACAGCGGAAACCATCAACACTGGGCAAGAAGAAGGAGAAGACATCTCCAGTCCTAAAAATACCTGATTCCTGTTCAATTTGAACTTACTCGAGGCTAAAGCCAACACACAGAAACCCTCGGATGCCTCCTGGGTAGAATAGAGACCAGGTAGAATAGAGAACGCAGGCAGAGGAAGCCCAAGTGCAGAGATAACTTCTTTATCTCCAGGGCTCAGACATCTCAGAAAGGACAATGAGTCACAGGAAAGACGATTTCCTTAGTAGTCAAAGAAACAAGGCAGAAGTGACCGACCCATGTTGACCAGCAAACATCCAAGAAGGACAGAGCTGGACCCTCTCACCCCCTGGAAAATGCAGAAACCCCTAATGATGGCTTCTTGTCCCAACAACTCACCAAATGGAGGGCGCTTCTGCCCCACTGATCTCTAAGAAATCGTACCCCTCCTCCAGCTGGAAGTCCGTGAAGACCAGAGCGATGGTATCCCCCGGCTCTGCGAGGATGGTCCACGTGCAGTCGGCGTTGTTCTCATACTCGGAGGGGAAGTGAGGGCTGGAGATGGAGCTGCTGGTGCCCCTCAGCGTGCCTCCACAGGCTCCTTCAGCTGGACACACAGAAACACAAAACACCCTCTTTTCAGAATGCTCTGACACATAAGTAAATCCACAAATGATCCTGCTGACCAACGAAACCATTTCTGAATTCAAAATGGAGATAATGTAACTTTTTTTATTAATTTAGTTCTGTGAAAACATCTAAAAGAAATCCAAAGGGTAAATTTCACTAATGAATTTAATGCTATTTGTGGAAAAGAATGGAATTGTGGCTCCACTTTGACCAAAAATAAATAAATAAATAAATAAAAAATAAAATTGACAATACAATGTGTTTTATCTTAAATAAACACTTAAATGTAATTAATTTCTTTTTAGGTAGATGGAAGAATAGATAAGATCACATGAGACAGGCATTCGTAGTTACCATTCACTAACTGTATAACTTTACGGCACATTGACATATGTAAATCTCTATAGAAATATGTTTTATGCATGAGGAATCATATACAAACATATTATCAATTAACAAAATATACATGATACTTAGATGTAATTCTTCTCTGATTTCTTTGTATGCCCCAAAATTATCTCAATGCAAAAACATCTACAAAACAAGCCATAAAGCTCCTATGGCATAAAAATATAAAATGCCATTCACAACCTGCGTTAGTCAGAATCCAATATTCTGATGGAGCAGTTGGGATGTACTCATTTCAATTTAACATTTGGGACTGCACATTTACATAATAATTCAAATCATTGACAGATTACCCCTGCTTGAAATGAAATTATGAAGAGTAAACTATTCCAACCTTTTGTGATGACAATCTCAAGGCTTGACAAGCTCAAGCCTTATAACTGAACAGCTTTGAAATGGGAATATTTAGATACATAGGCTATTAGGAGACTAAACTGCAAGTCTGTGGAATAAGCTTTCCAAGAGTCTCCTGGTAAACATCTCAGTAACCAGAGGTGATATTCAAGCTGGCTAGTGAGCTAGTATATTCCTGTGCTCACAGTCTGGGGGTCCTCTGCAGCTGAGCACAGGGGACAAGCACCCTGCCTGTTGCTCTCATGATCCTGTCCTCAGTTTTGTAGGCACTAACAACATTCAGGAGGCATCTGTGCAGCTAGTGTGGAAGGCTGGCCCCAGGGCTCCGGTCAGTGGTGATTTGGGTCTTGCTGTGGTCTCATATTTCCCCACTAAGCTGCCATTCCTCCTTTTTAGGACGGGAATGTATATTTACTTCCATTGTATGTTGGAACAATGTAATTTGTCTCTTTCTTTTTACAGGGAGTTACAGATAAGGGAGTGCCTTGAATCTCAGGAGAGACTTTGGATGTTGGATTTTTGGACAGTACTCAAGCTGTTAAGGCAATGGAGACTTTTGAAGTTGGACTAAATGCATTTTGCATTATGATATGGTGATGAGCCTGTGAGGGACAGGGAGTGGAATGTGGTGGTTTGAATAAGAAATGTTCTCCATAGGCTCCAACTATGTGAACACTTGGTTAATTCACGGTGTATTTGGGTAGGGACATTAGAAAGTGTGACCTTGCTGCAGGAGGCACAACCCCAGAGGTGGGCACTGAGGGCTCAGAGCCATGTCCATTTCTATTCCTCTCTCTGTTTCCCACGCCTGTTTGAAGGTGAAGAGTGCTCAGCTTCTGCTCTGGCTACATCTGTTACCATGCTGCCCACCACGGTGGGCTCTTTCATCTCCTGGAACTGTAATGGTTATAGTGTTTTATCACAGGAACAGAAAAATAACCAAGTGTAAACTACTGTAAAGTGCCATCCTCTGAAACTTCCTAACCTTTCAGACATGCATCCTCTTTCCCTGCTTGAATAACAGTAATAATTTAATAAGTAATTTATTGAGAATTTCACACGTGTATAAAAGGTGTTTTTTTTTGGGGGGGTCTTATTGAGACAGGGTTTCCCTGTAGCCCCAGCTGTCCTGGAACTCACTATGTAGACCAGGCTGGCCTTGAACTCACAGAGATCCACCTGCCTCTGCCTCCCAAGTGCTGGGATTAAAGGCGTGTACCACCACACCTGGCAAAAGGTGTTTTGATAAATCCATGCCAGCTCCCTCCCCTCCAACTCCTCCCATATTTCCCCATCACTTTTTTCTGATAACTTCATATACTCTTTCTTCTTTGATTTATTTATTTATTTTTATAGGGCATTTGGCTACTCTAACATTACCCCCTCTGAAGAGGTAATCCTAAAATTTTTTCAATATTTTTGGCCTTTGGAAGAGAGTATGTTTCTAAGAGGCTCAAGGACATTTTGACTTTTAGCCAAGAAACTGGCCACTTTTCTTTGGGGTCAATTTACCATAACTGCCTAATGAATTCCTACCTCCTATTCTTATCACACCATCCTCTGAAGGGGTTACCCAAATTGCTAATAGGGACTAGGGACGCAGACTGCTTTGGCTTCTTCCATCCTGAACAGGGATGCAGGGTGAGGCAATTGGAGTACCCCTTCAGTGGGTTTATCTAAGAGACTCACAAATTGCATAACTCTTGTCTCTAAGGAGAAAAGAAAGTCCTTGAATCATGAATAGATGTGAAGGAGAAGTAAAGGCAAGAGTAATTAGCATTACAAGTTCTAGACAGGGAACCAGACAAAAGTCAGAACAGGGCAATTTTCAGATGTTCATATGAGAGTCCATTGGAATTTCTTTACAAGGGCTTCCAAACGCATCCCTCTGTTGGGTTCCACCTCATTTTTCTTTTGTCTTGCAAGGCTGGACTCTAGAGTAATGGATTCAGGATTTGCTGTCAGGCATTTTAATAGCTGTTAAAATAGCTGTTAGAATCCATGTCAGTTCCCTCTCAAAGGCTTCTAGATAGGGGGACAAAACATATTTATTCATCATTTTAGAACAATAGCTGGTTGCCTCTCTTAGAGTAGACAAGGTGGGCTTAGGTGGGCACCGCAGTATTAGAGACCAATATTTGAAGTCTTACACCTGAGCAGCACTTTCTGGTTAGAAATAATTGTCTAAATAAATTTTTATATAGACTTAAGCCTGATGTCTGGGATGTGTAATCCCTTCAACTCTTAAAGAAATATACTGATGACTTTACTCTTTGGTTATACTTTACTTTTGAGTGTTTAAGACCATACAGTTGGCCCCAAAAAATCTATTTATTTTTGCTCTTAAGGTCATTTGAACAGCTGTTCCTCAGGAGTCACATGGGCTTGGGAGGTGCTCCTGGCTCCTTTCTTTTACCAGTTCCATCTATGTGAAGATAAGTCAAAGGTCCTGCTCAACCATGTCTGGTGTCACTTGGAAGCATATGAGATATTTCCTGAGTTGACCCTCCTCTTTGTAGACTGGATACTAGTTCAAATCCATCTCGTGGGGTCTCCATGTCCTCCCTGAACAAGAGGACAGGTAACTCACCACAGTGACAGGACATTTTGAGAGATGATCCATAGTCCCCTGGAACTTAGTCGACCTTGGAGGGAAAGGAGCAAAAACTGTCCTTTAAGTCCCTCTGACTACATTAGTATAAGCCTCAAAGTATGCCTGTTAAACATCCAATAAGGTTAGTTCCACCAGTCTGGTACTCTTAATTATCATGTGCTATGTGGATAAAGCTTGGGTAAAAACACAAATATTCTAAGATAAACCTTGACTAGGCATATATTATGTTCCTTGAGCTATAACAAACCTACACAGACCTTCATCACTTGCTTAGGCTTTCTCCTTTTTTTGTCTATTTTGAAAAATACCTCCATTCCCATATCCTTTTAACATCTTTTCCATTCTCATTTTCTATTTTTTACAATAATTACGAGACATAATAGCATTAACAAATAAATTTTCCATCTGTTGTGAGACTTTTTTCCCTGGAGATGCTAAGCAATGCTTATTCCCTTTTAAGGTTCTAGTGTCAAGCCAATGTTTGATTAAAGTTTTACTGGGGAAACAATGAATTTACTGAGCTTACATACCGAGTTAATTGCGGGGTTGCTGAGGTGTATGTATGACCTGAGGGTATGCACACTGGAAAGCCTTTACCCAGCATGGGTCATGCCTTCTCTTCCTAGCCTTCCCAGATTGTATATTTTGGCCCTCCCTAAATCCAGAAGGCCATGTGTGATTAGGGCCAAATTACATAGAGTTGGCTGGGAAGGGTGACTGGATACTCTGGTGAGGATCCAGTGAACTTGCTTGGCCCTCCTTTAATGAATGAGCACAACAGTCAACAAGCCCAACTGTGACAATGTTTAGCAATCAGGCTCAGCTGAAGTCATGATGATGGTAGTTATTTTGTGCAGAAGGGACTGCTGTATAGCATCATCTTATTAAAAGGTCCTGGAATTTAAAAGGATTTGGTGCTAACAGTAATAATTTCTAAAATCGCTTTTACATCTAATATGTGAACCCTCTGCCTAAGAGTTCAGACTCAAATTATTTATTTGCTCCCAGGATTATGCATAAGTTCATAGAAGCCATGAGGACACAGGACCATCATGGTCACAGTGGGGGACAGGCACTGAGTAAGAGCCACTTGGGAAGAGATGAGAGGCACCATTTTATGTCATTCTTTTTATAAAAGGAAGAAATCATGCAAACAAAACACAAGATGGACAGTTAAAACAAAATGGAAACATACATTTCCTCCAAACATACTTTGAGTTTTCTTTGATTGGTATTTTAAAACCAAGGAACAATTTTTAAAACAAGCTATAGTTAGAATCACCCTGGGGTAAACACATG